TATTTCCGGGTCGTGCGCATCTCACCGCCAGCCTTCCTTGAGTTTCGTCTAGCAGCATAGCCGTACCGATACCAAGTACGAATCCAATAATAATGAACTGCAAGCAGGACTGGGTACCTATGAATACGATAACGGTCAACCACCCTTGTAGCCGGTCCAGCCCGGCTGCAAAACAGTTAAAATTGTGAGTCACAATCGAATCCAACGTTTCGCCTGTTGGCCTATGCGATTGTGTATATACCGCGTGAGAACATATGGGATCCAATACCGCATCTAACCGCTGATAAAGAGGTGTCCGCAGAGCTGCCAATACACCGGCCAGTCCGGCTTTCGGCGAGGTCTGAACCCGTTTGAATTAAACGGGCTTTTCGAATCGAGGCCCGTTTGGACCAGGCATTTTGGACCGAGATTCAGGTGCCCACGGGCGCCGGATGGGCTGCGTGACATGCAGGCGCCCACTGGGCCCGCCAGGCACCCAAGCTATCTACCATTGTTTTGAATAACACAAGAGCCCCGAGACGACGTCAAACTGAGTCCCCCACTACCTGCGATCATTCCACCTAAAAACCACCACTGATGCGGTTGTGGGGTGCTGGTGGTGAACGGAATCCGGTTATAGGTGGAGGGCCAGAGTCTTATACAGAACAGAACAACATCCTGACCGCACACCGCGTGTCCCGTGAACAACACTCCGATAAATCCCGGCTCCTACGTGAAGATTCGAGCTCACCAGGGTCAAATTCCGCACTGATAAGCAGTGTTGTCAGTAGCCGGCCGAAACAGCCTAAGCCTTCAACCGTAACGAAAACCAACCATGTAAACCACGCAACGATCCAATTGGCCTTCGGCCAAAGACCTACCACCCGAACGTCCACGCATCGTCCTCCATTGCCACTGCAGACTATCCAGAAGGTAGCTACCAAACGTTTTCTCTGTCCACATCAGATAACCCTACTGACAACAATCCGTAGCTTTCCTCGGCGCAGAAAGTGCACTGACGCCGCGCCCAGTTTTTGTTGGCCTGCGGTTTCTAGGTATCGGGCTTGCAAAGGGTTCATTGGATCGACGGTTTCAAGGCATGGTTTGTCCTGGGGCGGGCGTTACTACGCCAGTTCTTGGAGTCCGCTGAAGATCCTTGCGGAGGAGAATGCAATGGACACTACGGCTGAGGGGGGACGCCCAGCCACGTTGGCGTCCAGCGTCCATTTGAGGGACGTCGCAGCATCAACTCGAGTTGCGCCGGTCCGTCTACAGAGGGTGAGCCAGACCTCGACGCTTCGAACCCTGCGATTGCTGCCGATGCTCCTCTTGTTGGATTAACTTCTCTGGTGGTTGGTTGTGTGTTGACCTTCGGCCGGGGGGGGAGGGGATGGGGGTCTATATCAGCGTGTAATATAACGGCAGGGTAGATACCTGTATGTCATACGACGGTATGGTAGATAGAAAGACAACGACGGGCGGCCAACATAGCGATACCCCTCGGCAAGCAACGTCGCCTATTTTGAACGCTACCTGCTTCAGTTCTTGAAAGCTCGCATCCCTGTCCATATGAACTGATCGAATACAGCACGATGGAAGATGTATACTCAAAGAAATGTTTGCGCGGTGGGACCTGTCAGTTAGATAGTGTTCACCTCTCTCGCCGCAGGTGCCCAAAGTCGCAGGCTGCTGAATAATACTGATGAGACCCGTAACGTGATAAAAAAAAGACAGTACGGACTACCCCAGGGTTAGACCACCCCACATCCGTCCGGTGTGCAATTACCGTGGAGGCAGGTTCTACAGCGACGCAGGGATTGTACCCCCGCCGTGAGCGAGCGTGGCTTTTCTTTAAGGCCAGTTCCGCTGTTGCAACGTTTGGTCCAACCAGGACTCTGCGTACACCGAATTCCCAGTCCCAATTGCGATAGGTCCTCCCGCCATCAACTTAATCAGCGCGCAAGGTACCGGATCTACTCGACAACAACCTCTCGACTTGGAGCGGGAAAATAAACTTCCCGGGCAGGCGGTCCGGGCCGAAAAGCTTTTGTTGACGTTGTGGGGGGGTGACGTCGCCGTGATGCTGTACCAACGATGTCTCCCGTGCCACAACACCGTTCGATTTCCCAATTCACCGACCTCCGCAGATGACAAGATGTTTTGCCGCCTTTCTCCCGTAACTGAGCCCAATCGGGAATCTAGTGGACGACCCAATGCGGCCCCATTGAGTCAAATTCTACAGGAGCCTTCACCACAAAGCCATGCGGTCCCACGAAGGCAACGCAGGAAACCTGCGATTAAGGACCCGGAGCCTCATGTAAAGCGCAGACGGAAGTAAAAGGGTTTCCTTGTTCGTCTCTGTCTTCCTTAAGATATTCTAAGCTTACACTCATTCAGTGCTTCAGCCATTCTTTCTGCCGCGTTGGTGCTCTGGACCCCGACCGCTCCTTTCCATCCAGCCGTGCTCTTGACCACTCCTCTTGGCCTTCCCTGGCCCCCTGGCCGCTCCTTTCCCTTCAGCGGTGCTCTGGACTCCTCCACCTGTCCTTTTCTGGTATGCTGGTGGCTCCCTTGTCCGTGCCAGCCGCTCTGCTGCCCCCCTCAGTCGCTCGCTGAACATTCGCAGGCCCTCCAGTTCGCCTATAGGCCTGTTTTTGGACTCTGGTCTCGGATTTTCTATCGCTTGGTGTTCTCGGTGTTCTTGACGTCGTCGGCGCGGTCGCGTTGCATGGTGGAAAATCATCAAATGTTTCGAAAAAAATAAACTTTTATATTCGCCACCCGATCGGCTATCTAACGGAGCGGGAAGTTTATTTTCCCGCTCCAAGTCGAGAGGTTGTTATTGTCGAGTAGATCCGGTAGGCCCGCCGCGGCTCTCAGCCGCCCGCTTCTTCCTTATGGCTTTGCAGGGAAAATGCAAAACTCGAAGCATTAGGCGGCAGCTTCGGCTGTAGTTCCGCGACCTCCATGTCGAGGTGACAAACAATGTTTACTGGAGAGATCTGGGACGACGAAGCCCAGTCGTGGGAACTCCTAGTATCTCCATTTGAACATCGCAACGGGGGAGTCGATCCTGGGTGCGAATCGGTCGCTGCGGCACTCTGACAAAGGTCTCAAGGCGGTGACAAGAATATCGGAGGCTACTCCAAAGGAGCTTGTGTGCAGCCTGTTCTGGATTCCTAATCGAGATTTCTTGAGCCTCCAAGGATAGAGCGGAGCGCCTTTGCAGCTTCAGTGCCAGGACGGTCAACCGCGGCTGGCGAAGACCCTTCGCAGCACGGAGCGGCGAGGCTTGCGAAAGATGCAGTAAGCGGAAGCGGCGGTGTTCACGCATGACACTGTTGATACCTTTACGACATCAATACCCGCTCTCATGAGCTGCGGCGACTCAATGAAAGAGTAGTGTTCTCGCAAGTAGTCATAAGATCCAACACGTGTCTCGATTCGTAGGCGGTAGATCAATTGAAATCTGTCTCGCAGTACCCACCGCGCCTCAAAGGCCGCGTATAGAATCACCGACATCACAGCTCATCAACGATTTCCCTCTGCGTCAGCATCACCGTTACTATCCATCATATGTACCCCAGAAACCTAGGCGGATCGCGCTCGCAGGCGTGTCTCAGTGTTGCAGAGGACACTAGATTGACTGGCCATCGTTTCCCGGCTCATTGCACTCAGCCCGGGCGAGTTTCGAGACCCAATGGCTGCTGGTATATTCGTCATTGCTTGTCCAGTATCCGCTCAGCTCTGAGGCTGCGGTCATAGCAGGGGAGAGTGTCTGGCCGGCAAAGCCTGCCGGATACACCTGGACAGAGATCTGCACCATGCGGTCGAACAGCGTCGATCGCAGATTTATAGCAGTCAGTGTCGGTAGATCCTGGGTAGGCTTTCTCTGGAAGGGACACGCCAGCGTTGCGCAGTGACAAGATCTTCGCTCCAACACACCCGCAGTAGAGGAGGTACCGCAATATCACATATTCTCCGTCAGGGTAGCCGGGACGTAGCGGCAGCCGGCGCAGGACGATGGCTAGCACAGCAGGGCTGAGAAGAATCACGTAAGTTCATCCAGTTTGTAGCCGTCGTCGTTAACGATGTCAAGCTCAACGACGGGAAATTAGTCGAGGAGCACCAACACAATGAGGCCATATTATTCTGGGTGTCCGTAGTGGCGATCACCCAGATGCGCCTGCATAGATGGGAAGGTAGGCGTGGTGGTGACAGGTGATAGTCGAGAGTACGCTGAACACCACTGCAGCAGAGAATAAAGATAGCCACGCGAGTTTAGCTGCAGACGTCCTAGATCGCCCTTGGCCCTATGCGAACCGTCCACGTTCGCACAGCTCGCGCAGACCTGCGGAGGCTCTCATCAGGATCAAACTGCAGGCGGAGAATCGGGGCCCCCGCCAGGCGGCCGCATTGAGTATGCCGATCTCGAGCACATATGGGTTCTCGTCCATGTTCCCCCTAGATGAGGTGATCAGCCGGCCTTCCATGGGTTACAATCCGCGCATGACCCACATGCTGTAGAAGACATGTGGAGATATAAGCAGCGTATCTCCGAGCGGTGCACAATGCACAGTGACTACTTGTATTTCAGGCCTGTCAGACATATTTGCCGAGAATCCGTATGACGCTGGGAGCACGGGGCGCAGACAGATCCACGGTAATATTGACCACTCATAGTTCCAGCCGGCGGTGAGCATCTCTTATCCGGATGTCTATACATCGGCGCAATGCTGTGTGACCACAAGGGATGCAGGTTGTTGGATTACAGAGTCCCGTGATATTCATCATAAGGCGGAAGCACTAAAATCACTAAACACCACTCAGCCGCGCCACTACCAGGAGTGTCCATGTCCCCCGAAGTTTGCATTTGAAGAATTGCGGCTGGCACGCAAGCGGCACTGCACTATTGCCTTGATGTTGCAAGGGTCTTACCGCTGTTAAACAGGTGCCGATTCATAAGTACGCAGTTATCCATGCCGGATATGAACAGTTGAAATATAACTTGGCCATCACAAGTGTAGGTAGCTCAGTGGTAGAGCGTATCCGATTGCAGCATTGTCCGGGATGTTGCAATGGGGCTAAGACCCGGGTTCGATTCCCAGACTACACTATTTCCTTTTGTTGCTGATTTTTTTACCTGCGGCGGGTGCACAGTCGCTCCATTGAGTGATGTCTGTGCTATCTGGGACAACCGACCACCGGAGGAGGAGACTATAATCCCCACATAGGGTCTTAGGTTGTGAAATCAGTCTCCGCTTCCCCATTCATGATCATCCTTCAGTAAGCGACCAACCTTGTGAAATCTAATACATGATTCCGCCACCATCTATCCCACCGAGTTTCCCCCACACGCTGCTAGGCTTCATCTCTATCCCAAACCTAAATCATTGTTTCCTCAGTTTCTCTGCGTTGCACAATGTTCCATTGTTCTCTCCGTGATTTTTCTCCAACCGCATTTTGACCCCACATCGGCCATGATAATCATCGTTCGCGGTCGCGTCCAGACAATGAACCTCATTACAAACAAACAAATCCCACCTCGACACTCATCCACTGGAATAAAAAGCCGCCTGTTGCCGCAATCGAGTGTTCTAGTAAGGTGCAGGTGCGTAAGGATCCCTATATACAGGATGCCGCTATCACCAGTTAGCACCTGGAACGTCACTTGTGCTTGGATCACACCGAACCGTCTTCACAACCTCTCTCCAATCATTGCAGGTGTATTCTACACCGTCAACTAAACCATGGATTTGGATAGGTTAGGTTTGCCAGAAAACAGCCGCGAATCTATGCCAGTGTACGCGTCACGCAGTAGCTGCGATGGACGACTAAATAGCGCGAGCTCTGGGTCTGTGCGGCGCCGGTCGGCTCAGAATAAAACAGAAAGCTGACGTTGGGCACTGCTATCTCTTCCTAGACCAAATTCCCTTTCGCTGTCAGCCTCTCCGTTTCAATGATGAATGTCTCAAACCAAGCCAATGGAAACCTCTCTATAGGATCCTTGCGTAGTAGCCGGATTTTACGCTCGAGAACACACTGCGCATCATCTACCACAGGCCTACACATCTCCCCGCAAACTTCAAACAACACTCCCGTGAGTGGATCAATATCCCCATAGTCGTGCAGAATGCTCTCCTCCTGATTAAGGTCCAGGGTCAAACGAAAGACGCTCACCATCTCCTCCGCGATGAGGTACCCGATTACCCGCGCGTGTGTGCCAGGTGCAACCCTGTTTACCCAATGGTCTGGACATATGCCCTCACGGACGATGGTTCTTCCGGCCTCTGCACTACGCTCTATTGCTATGTTATACTGCAGGTTTTGCAGGAACACAGGGTCCGACCCTGCCGGCGTCAACCAGCAAAGCCACATAAGGGCGGGATCGCTGTCCACTGTGGACTTTTGTTTCGCAAGAAGCGCATCCATCGGCCACTCCTCGAGCCTATTGGACACCGTGGTCGTGGGATATAAGGGCCCTGCCAGTATCCAAACCTTGGCCCTAAACGGTGCTCAGGGTTAGCAGTTCCAGTGGTCCTGGACCAGCCAGTCTGTCCCCCTCCAGATTGAAGGTACTACTCTTCATATGCCGCTGCCACCGGCACAAGTCGCACTGTGCTGTATGAGATGAGACCAAGTCTTTAATTAACCAGACAACGTTGTTGTTTCAAGATCTGCTTCTGCTCTTTCGTCGGCTAATCGTGATCTCTAATCGTCGAGGTTCCTAAGACGTGACAGCGTTGGGGTTCGACAGCTCCCAGATGCCAGATCAGTACCGTTATTCATCGTTGGGGAACACGCGCCTAGACAAGGAGTCACTACTGGTATGTCCTCGATCCTGGAGTAATTACCGACGTAGGGTTAATGGGAGCTCTGCAGGGATCCGAACCTGTGCGTGTCTTTCTTGTACACTTGTGGCGTGTCTAGCGCATGTAGTTTACACACAAAGTACCTGGTATATGAGATTGAAGAAGATCAAGGGGGCGCCAGATAAGATACCATATGGTACCGCAATCATGTCACTCAGGCAGATTGAAATCCATTAAAGCTAGCACTCCGGATCCGATCGGCGGCAGGTGGGCTGATGATTCATTTGTTTTGCTGGTAATTGTCTAGCCCTATCGAGCCGATCTCTTGCGGTGGTGGAGGTAGGATTGTGGCTGTGTCCTGCTCACTGCTGCCCATGGTCCTACTCTCTGAGGGCATCTCGAGCGATTTGTAGCTGAAGAATTGTTGCGCCGGTACTGACGACACATCGTCCCAACTCTGGATTCCGGTTCAGAAATGGGGCTTCGCCATTCTGTGTGGCACACATCCATTTTGCTGCTGGCTTGCCAACGTTTGATGGCAAGAGTGAATAGTCAACGAGCCGGCCTGACGCACTACGGGAGGCGCAGGGAGAACCGGGTGATAGCACATGACCATTGTCCTATGGCCTTACCCTGGGGCCCGCACTGCGTCCTATCGATCTCGCGGTGCTCTTATCGCCCCCGTCATGCGCCGACCCCCCTCCTCCATCCTGCGCGGAAAACGGGCAGTGTTAGCTCGGGGTCGAGTACCGAATTGATCTCCAACACATCGTTGGACTCACCTGCCGCGGTCATGCTTGCAGCCGAGAACCCCTTGCTTGTGAAAGAGAGTGGAAATTGCGTTGCGAAAAGGGATTCGGCGGGGATTGTTTGCGAATGAGGAGATGCCGGTTCAGAAAGACAGAAACAGTACACCGTGCCTGCATGCTTTATTCCTGATCGGCCATGCCTCGCGTGGCCACGTCGTCGGTTGCAGGTTTGACTGTGTTGGTAATCTTCACATTTGCGAGGATTGCAGTTCGTTTTTCGACATCGCTTTCCTTCTCCATACTGTACATACGGGTTTTCACCGCACGACATGGCTTCAAAGCGCAGATTGACAGGTTAAGCTGCATGCGGTGATTGTTCAGCTTCACGAAAAGACAGACTGCGAGACGGCGGCCAGGGATGGAGAGCGTCGGCGAGGGAGCTCGAGCCACCGGAGCGCCAGACTCACAAAGTGAGTCATTTTGAGTGATGCACGCACTGTTCCTTCCGTTGCGAGCAGGAAAGTTCAAGTACTTCGAACCGTCATTGCCCCGATTATTCCTGCTCGAATCATCACTTAGCCAAACTGGTGGTTGCAGGCCATCAAATAGGGCGAGCTTCGTTCCGCAACGCCGAAGCCCTTGAACCCCACCGTGAAGGCTGCCGACCACTCCTGGTCCATCCCGGGTGGCCCCCCCCCCCTTTCAGTACCTGGCTGCATTGCTGGGAAACCGTTTTGTGTCCACTACTAGTAGCTGTCGTCAGACTGGACATCTAGTGACTTCGGTGACTTCGAATACTCAACAGGTGTGTCTTTCTCGAGGTGCAACGAATTACACAGCAAAAAATACCCGGCACGCTCTCGCAGGACATCTGGAAATGAGTAGTTACCCATGAGGAATCGCTCGCAATGTGTGATCCGTACGAACAACTGCAAGCAGTGAGCGCCATACCTCCTCCACCAACGGCGTAGCGGCTAGATCCCGAGAGTCTCCAGTCTCCGCTCCACGATCGTCACACACTGCCGTCGACCGCCTCCCAAGGCCAGCCAGCGTGAATGTCTGCAGCGTATCCCTGCACCACTGTGCCGCACGACCGCAGTGTTGTACGGCATTCACACGGTGGTTAGGGGATAGATTAGAGAAGGGGCCGAGTGCTTGGTAGTGAGCCTGCCAGGGAGGCAGACCTAAGGGGATTGGCCCCCGAGGACAGCAATTACGATCATACTATCTTCAATCCTTCGCTCGAGGTATTCCCTCGTAGAACACGCAGGTAGTCCCTTCACCTGGACTGCGGTTCAGTACATTCTAACGGGCAATGCGCCAACGACTTGGCTGTGCTGCGCGCTGATTCTGAACGGTCTGTTCTCGTGAACGGACCGGAACACACCTGAAGAAAGGCGCTTGAACACGACGGCCTCGGCCTCACCAAAATGTTTGATGTGCAGCCATCATAGACAAGAGACATGTCTGATTTCACTAGATTTGATTTGAATCATGCTTCAATTGGGGCCTATAAAGTCTATGCCAAGCAATAGTATTGCTAATCCTGTCTCCGTTAGCCGTGAAGCTGTCTACGGCTGCTCCCATTTCTTCTGCTCCCCGTTCACCGCCAAGCAAAAGCAAGACACAGGAAAAGAAACACGTGACTCTATCTCCTCCAGAAGGCCGGGGAGGAAGACGAAGAGAACAGAGTCGACGACGTTGTGAGAGGTGATCAAAAGAAGCTTAATTCTCTCAGACGCCGGAGGGTGAGCGTCAGAACTTCATATACAACATATATATCTGAAACAGAAAACAAAGAAAACACCGGAAACATTCAGACCCACGTCTCCACCCCAGTTCTGCACGTGAGTTCGCCACCCGAAATCCTTTTCAACAGCGGAGGCAATCTGGTCGGAGTTTAGGACGCGTTTTAAGGTCATGAGGAAAAAACAAGATGTAAATGCTTACGTACCTAAGATTTCGAAAATAAGGTATTTATTTTTAAATGTTCGCTGGTTAAACCGGATTTTCTTCGAAACTTGCTTTCCGTATTTGATCTGCTTGCGACGTGCATCGAGAGTCTCAGGCGAGGCGGGGCCGTCATGACGGGCCTTGTTGATCTCCAAATCGACCATCGCACGGCGCTTGCGGCCCTTGGGAGTCTCGGCGGGGGCGGGCGACGACAGATGCGCAGAACGCGGCATTCTTGGCGAGGGGGATGGCGACTCGGTGCACGGGGAGGGTGGGGAGGGCGGGGCGGGGTCTGCATTGTCTGGACGTGTGGCCAAAACCGCCTGCAACTTCTCGTCCAACAGTTCGTTAAAAATGCCAGGCAGCGCCTGCAGCTGGTCCTCGTTCCTCTTCTGGGCCAGCCTCCTGATCGCGCTGCCACTCCTTCTGGGCAGGCCAGTTTTGGTCCTGCTGCTGCTGCCAGGCCTGCTGATGTTGCTGCTGCTGCTGCTGCGCTAGAGGGAGGTCCAAAACCACCGCCAGGTTGAGAGGGGATGGGGATCCCTTCGGAATTCCGCGTTTCCGGCGTGAGACCATCCCCAGCCCAACCATGGACGTTCCGA